TTACAGGGTTTCGGGCCCCTCGGCAGCCGAGAATTTCAGCTTGGCGATGTGAAAAGAAAAACGTAGGTTTTTTCAGTGTTTTTGGTTGCAACGGCTCTCCCGACTTTCGGCTTCTGCTTAGAGAAGCCAGGGCAGTCAGCCTCCTCCCGTGTGGAGGATGCTGCTGGGATGCCCTATGTCCCAGCCCCCGCGCTAACCTCTGTTCTGGCAATACGAAATAGGCTGGAACGAAAGTCTCACTGTCGCCAGATACCTGCGAGTCATCACCGGGGGTATGGGTAGCTGGCATAAGCGACGCTCTGGCCAGAGGCGAAGTTGACCTCTAGGCTTTCTTCTGGGGATACGAAACAGGTTCGAAGAAAATTCTCCTAGAATCCACGTTCACAAGACAGCAGGGATGCCCCATGTCCCCTCCATGGGTCTCTTCCCCGCCGTCCAAGACCCATTGCATGAATTGGTCGAGGATGTTCGTGCCATCCTTCTTGCCAGCCTTCCCAATGCTGCCCCCACTAACAATGCTCGTAACCGTCTCAACGCCCCCACACTTGCGAAAATCCATCGCAGCGTCTCCCAACTTTCTCAAAGGACATTTCAATGGGGATAAAAAAGGTCAGGTGTCTTGGTTGCTGTTGCTCTCCAACCCTAGCCGTCTCCTAACTTCTCTTGCACTCTACTCTTGGCTATCCTATCGCTCTAGGAATTCAACGCTAATTACTTCTAGTGTCTTTGGATTGGAAACTGTTTCTCGCTTACATATACTTTTACTCTGTTCACAGGTTCGCCTGTCGTTAAGCCCACGTCTCGCCAATCTCTATATCTTTCCCCTTTCCGGTGTCGATTATTTGTCCCCTTTCCGGTGTCGACTGTGTCTTACTAACTACTCTCTGTAACATGCTATCTAAATCCTTTGCCACCCTACGTCTCCGATTTGCGGCGTCGACGCCTCAACCCCCAACCTCTCCACCCCCGCCGGCCTCGCTAGCGCATCAACTTACAAACAATGTCCTTAAGGCTAGAACGACGTCTATTTATCCTCATCATAGCTATGGCTGGCTAGCGTAAGCGATGCATTTATTACCAGCTAACAGCTGCCGCCTCCCAACGTGTATCGCGCTCCATGTGCCTTCTCTCTCTCCGACGGCTCTCCCGACTTTTAGTTACTACAAGCAACCAAGGCAGTCAGTCCCCGTCCCTCGGACGGGTGCTACCGAGGTGCCCCAAACCCCGGCCCCGTCATGGAGGCGTAGCGAATCCCTCACCGAAACCACGCCCCGCAAACACCGCGAACGACACCAACCGCCTCGACCCAAAACTCTCTTACCCACGTGCGCCGGCGCCCGGCTATCAGGCGTAAGCCTTTAAATAAAAAATCGAATGTATAATATTAAAATTACTATTCAATAATTAAAAAATAAATACAATTACAATAAAATTATTAAATTAATAATAAATATATTTATAATACACTTTATAATATATTTATATTAAAATAAACATTTTAAACATATAACACATCAAAATTTTTACATATCGTCCCAATCATACTTAAAAATAACATAATTTTACAAAAAAATATAAAATCATATTATAAAAAAATCAATTCTTCAAATTATCAATATTTTTTTAAATATATACATATAACCCTAAATTAAAAAATATTACAGAAATATAAATTTAGAATTAATAAAGAATTATTCAAATAAATATACTAATAAATATATTATGTTTTTTATTAAATATCTTTTAAATATATTTAATATTGTTTTAAATTAAAATTAATTCTAAATAGTAAATATATATATATTAAAATATGAATATATGTTATATTAATATTTATCATATATATAAATAAATAAATGTATATGAATTTTACGATAAATATGTTTAAATATAGAAATTTAACATTAATTAATAATATCAATTCCAATTCCTATAACGAGAATACATTTATAGGCGTTGGCAAAGACCTTGTTATTTATGTTGTTTCCGGATTCCAAAAACAATATCCTCTAAAGAAATCCTTCCATGGGCCAAATAAACCGTCCAAATACATATTGTGAAATTAAAATTAGGAAAAATCATGGCGGCCGCTCCATCATGAACCTTCCCATCAACCTCAAATCTGAGTTTCCTATCGCGAACATCAGCCGAACCCTAAACCCCCGCTGAAAGAAAAACCTTTCTCCGTAACTGCCAGCGCTACCCGGCAAGCAACTGCTTTGACCGGCCTAGTTGCCTTCATTCTGCTTTTGCAGCGGCAATTCCTTGTTGCAAAGCATCTGAGGTCTTTTGAACATTCTATCGCCTGGATGCGGCTGGGGCCGCAGGGTCGGTTGGGTTCAAAGCAGAAGCTCAGACCTCATATGATTCATCAAACCTCATCTAACTTCTTTTGACCAACACATTGGGGCCAAAGAAAGGGATGGGCTTTTGTTGGCCCTCAAAAGTGCAAGCAGCTTCAACGGACACAAAACATGAGCGGAGACTTAAGGCAGGTCTCGCATGGGCGGCTTGTGGTCCACGCGACGCTCAGGAGATGGAGTTAAAGATGATGCACCTGGAGCGCTTTCGCTTGGCGGTCCAGAAGCGTCCGAAGACCTTCGAGGCTGAGCAAACGGTGAGTCTAAAGGAGTTCGCGTCTTGAATGACGCTGCAAACCGAGTGCTGCTTGCTTCTGTGGGTCGCTTTGGCCATTTGGCAAAGCCAAGAACCACAGGCAAATACTGCGCAGTGAGGCTGACAGTCTTCCATTACAACACAACAAGAAAACATCTATTGACCTTGCAGGTTTCGGGGGAGTGTCACAAACCAGACTGAACAAATGACCCCCAATGAGTTTGTGATCGGACAAGGTCAATGTACCGCAGGATACTGGGCGTCTCTCATATCAGGTGAGAATGGCAACCGGGCATCCAAGCACACAATATGTCTAATCTACACAACCCTGCACCTAATTGTTCCTTTATGGTTTGGATATTCCTGATATCACCTATACTTAATCCATTTACTCCACAAGTTATATAAACATTGATAAACATGGTGACAAATTGAACTTTGGGAAGCCTGGCAAACACTCAAAAGAGCGGACCAATCAACGACAAAATTGCATCAGGCATTGAAAGGCGTGCCACTGTAGACTGCAAAGCTAGGAACTTAGTTCACTCCCCGCAGTCCAATCCTTACGATTCAGCTCTATGGGCTTGTTGATCCAATCGGAGGGTTTGACACCATTCCAAACAAACTACCTGCACGATGTCTTGTGGGAAAAAGGAACCTTTTCCTGGCAACAACCTCACTCTGGGAGGTCCCCCGATTGGGCAAACAAACCTGAACTGGATTCATTTTGTTTTTTGTTAATCCTTTCCACCCAGGTTTCTGCGGTCTCCTGGTGGTCTCCTTCTCAGGCATCCTTTGAGCTCACCAGCGCAATCGACTGCAGGGCTGGAAACTGGATGCTGTTCTCGGTGCGGCTGCCTGATCAAACAACCAACTTGGTCTTTTGCATGCGCACAAGATTTTAAGAACACCTTAAGGTATGACGACACCACATTTTTTCTCAGACCAGCCTGGAACCATTCCCACTCACAAGGTCCTGTCTCCACCAGTTCCACCTCATCACTCTCCCTTCCCAACTTGCTCCCTAGCCAGTACGGTGCTGCAACAGGGCACGCAGAAGCAGTAAGGGAGCGTGTGGCATCCCTATCAATCAAGCAAACACAGCTTAGCGCCGCAAAGCCAATACAGTGCACGTGCTGCAAACTGAAACGACACTGCAGCGACGGCACACCTCCGTCTGTCTGAAAGCTAGCCCCGATTAGCACACCCGTTGCAACAATTGAGCGAGAACCTAACAATGAAACACATCTTAATTTGGGATGGGCAAGTAACTGATTGAAGGCGCTATGCAAACAAAAACTCCATGCCTTGGAGGGTTCAAGCTTTCGCTTCGCAACTGATTCAGTATGATTTCCAGTTATGATTACAAGTCTGAAGTCATCTGAAGGGAAGTCTGGATGCACACCCATCCCTTACGATTTACAAGAGGCTACTGGCAGGTCGATCAAGAAGCTTGCAAAAGGTATGTAACCTGGGACTTGACGACACCTTGCTGGTTGTCAAGGACGCCTTCTCTACCACATGCTTCCGCTACTATACTGCTCTTTTAGGACATACAATGCGCAGTGCAACTCCTTAGTTGAACGTGCTCCTCTGTCTTGATGGGAGATGTTGTGAGTCTGATCTGTCCTTCCCTCCTCAACAAGCAATCAACTGTACTGGAGAGTAAGCCGCATGCCTTTGTTGCTTGCTATAGAATGTTGATCAAAAGAACTGCGAACCTCAACGAACCACCTTACAGCATGTTTACAAGACTGTTGGTCTGAACCACCCACCTTTTTCACAGAACATGCATACCGAAACACCATGTCACCGAGGTTGGATGACATTGGTGAACAAAAGCCACCTTGATGACATTGGAATACCCAGAAAAGTGAACGGATGGATGAAACTGTTCAGCAGTTCGTCACTTGGATTGGGACAACCCTCCTTGTGCCTTATGCACCCTAGTCATGGAGGGCTTTCAACAATCTTCAATCAAACCAACATATCGTAATATATCGTACCGCATCATCAAGTCAAACACTGAGGACTGAGGACAGTCAGGGTTTGGTACGAACCGGGCCTGCTGGAGGATATGAACTGGAGAAGTCTTGAACAGTCTTGGGTCCTCAGCGAGGCAAGTCTCTCCACGATCCGCGTTTCGTCTTAGTTGCGACAGTACACGTTCCATTTGGTCGGGCGGGACATTGTCCCTGGTTGTGAACGAGCTGCGTGTTAGCCCAAGTGGTTCCCCTTGAAGCCACCACTCACCCCACCCTGGCTGCCTTCACTCTACTGGTCGCAGTTGGGTTTCGTTGCTCGATCTCGTGTGTGGAATGGAGTTTTAATCCTCAATTGTTTGAAAGTTGACAGGATCTTGTAGGGCAAGGCTGAATGATGTTGGTCAAATCGCCACAGATTAGTGAGGTTGGGACCCTAAATATAACTTACATGTTTCTTGATCTTTGAGGGTCAAAATTGTAACCTAACATGTGTTTAAGGCATCAAACATGTAATATTACAGCTTCGACCACCAGCTTACATGTTTAATTGACAGTTCACAGGAAATATGACACCTGTAGACCCCCCCACCCCCACCACGTTCACGCACTGTTTAACTAAGTTACATTTTGTGGATTCATTGTCGAAAGCTCTTTCCTTTAGACAATTCCTTGCATTTTCTCTCGTTTTGCATTAATATTCTTTATGTTCCTTTCATGTTCTTTGGATTTTGCATGTATTCCTTTCATGTTTCTTTCATGCTATATTAATTTCCTTTCATGATGTTTCATTTGCGTTGATGTCCTTTCATATTCCTTTCATTTTCCAATCATATCCTTTCATTTTGCATTTATGTCCTTTCATGTTCCTTTCATTTTGCTTTCATGTCCTTTCATGTGCCTTTCATAGTCTATTCATGTCCCTTCATGTTCCTGTCATTTTGCATTTATGTCCTTTCATGTTGCATGCATGTCTTTGATTGTTCCTTTCATTTCGCATTCATATCCAACCGTTTTCCTTTAGTTCTGCTGTCATTTCCCTTCATGTTTGTTTCATGTTGTAATCATTGCCTGTCATGTTGCTTTCACGTTGCATTCATTTCCTTTTATGTTCAATTCATTTTGCATTGATGTCCTTTCATTTTCCTGTCATTGTGCATTTATGTCCTTTCTGTTTCCTTGCGTTTCGCATTCATTTCCAAGTAGTTTCCCTTAATGTTGCTGTCGTTTCCTTTCATTTTGCAGTCGTTGCCTGTCATGTGCTTTTCACGTTGCACTCATTTATCTCTCATGCAAGAACATGTAAAATGCAACGTTAAATGCTGAAGGCGTTTTCCCTTTGGACGGTTCCTAACATTTTGCATTAATTTCCTTGCATTGTCCCTTCATTGTTCATTATTTCCTTTCATGTTCCTTTCATGTTGCATTCAGTTCCTCTCATGCACAAACTGCAAAATGTAATGTGAAATGATGAGGGTTTTTTCTCTCATTTTATACTAATTTCCTTGCGTGTTCCTTTCATGGTTCATTCATTCCTTTCATTTTCCTTTCATGGTGTGGTCATTTCCTGTCATATTCCTTTCATTTTGCACTTATGTCCTTTCATGCTCCTTCATTTTGCATTCGTGTCCTACAATAGTCCTTTCGTTTTTGCATTCATATCACACCATTTTCCTTTAATGTTGCAGTCATTTCCCTTCTTGATCCTTTCATTTTGCAATCATTGCCTGTCATTTTCCTTTCACGTTGAGTTCGTTTCCTTTCATTTTCCTTTCATTTTGCATTGATGTCCTTTCATGTTCCTTTCGTTGTGCATGTAGTTCCTTTCAATCGCATGCATGTCCCATCATGTTCGTTTAATTTCGCAGTCATTTCCGTTCATTTTGCGTTCAGGGCCTGTCATGTTTCTTTCATGTTAGATTATGTTGCATTCATTTCCTCTCATGCTCCTTTCATTTTGCATTCATGTCCTCTCACGCGAAAAAAAGGTGGTATGTTCAAACTGGTCATGCGGGTACACTCCCAAGCGGTCGCAATTATTTACTGAAAATGTAAGATAAAATGCCAACCGTTTTTCCCTTTAGACATTTCCTGTCATTTTGCATGAATTTCCTGCACTTTCCTTGCATGTTTCACTCATTCCTTTTAATCTGTTTAATTGATTTCCTCTCATGTAAAAAATGCACATTAACATTGAAAACGGTTTTTCCCCTATAGAAATTCGTGTCATTTTGCAGGAATATGTATGTTCCGTTCATTTTCCTTTCATTTTCATGTATTCCGTTCATTGTCCTTTCAAGACGTATTCATGTCCTTTTATGTTCCTTTCATGTTGCATTGATGTCCTTTCATGTTCCTTTCATTGTGCATTTATGTCCTTCCTGTGTCCTTTCGTTTCGCAGTCATTTCCAATTATTGCCCTTTATTTTGCTGTCATTTCCTTTCATTTTGTAATGATTGCCTGTTATGTTACTTTCATGTTGCATTCATTTTCTCTCATGTGAAAACATGTAAAAAGGCAACATTAGAGGCTGAATGCGTTTTCCCTTTAGACATTTCCTGTCATGTTGCATGTATTTCCTTGCAATTTACTTTCATGTTCAAGCTTTCCTTTCATGTTGCAGTCAGTTCCTCTCACGAAAAAGAATAGCATTAAATTCTGAAGGTTTTTCTCTTTCGACATGTCCTGTCATTTTGCAACATCCTGGCGCACAGACGTACACAAACACACACACACAAAATGACACTTTGCCACCAAGCAAAAAATCATTAAAACATGTAATTTCCAATTGGGCCACACCCCCAAACCCTCAGATTTTCCCAGGAAGCCTAGGTTATGTGAGAAACGCTGACCTCACAAATTGTAACGTACATTTTGGCCGCGTCCCAAAACCCTCAGAATTTACAAGAAAATGAAAGCGCAGAGGTCACCGTCACCATTTTGGACGTGATTTGGTGCGTTCTCTGGGATTTGCCCTTCTTTGAAAATGGTGCCCGCGGCGGGCGCCATCTACGAAACGGTGTAATTTCTTGTTCTCTCGGGAGGGTACCCGCACGACCAGTTTGAGCATACCACCTTTGGAAGGAAATGAGTGCAAAATGAAAGGATCTGAACGCGAAAGGAAAGGAAATAAATGCGAAGCGAAAGGACATGTCGAAAGGGAAAAAGCCTTCAGCATGTAAAGTTACATGTTCCAAAAAACTTGCGGGCGCTTGGGAGGGTATCCACATGACCCGTTTGAGCATACAACCTTTTGAAGAAATCAAAAGGAAAGGAATGCACAATGAACGGGAAATGAAAAGACATGAATGCAAAATGCAAGGAACATCAAAGGAAACACTCAAACTGGTCATGCTGATGCCCTCCTATGCGCGTACTCAAAGTAACAAGGTTCGATTGGACAACGATAACAAAGCAAAACAACGATAAGAAAAACCGAAGCTAAACGCAGCGTCAACGCTTCCAAGTTACATTTGTTGACCCCCCTAAAGCCGTTCTGGTCTTCCAAAAATGTAACTTAGAACGTCCCCACGTATCGAGTTACATTTTCCTGGACCCCCCCTCTACAGGTATGATTCTGACAAACGTTGCAAAATATAAGTTTTTTTGGGGGGTGGGGGGTGACCAAACATGTAACTTACATTTTTGGGCCCCTCCCGTTTTCATGGTTAAAGGGGTTGCGATTTGGTAAACAATTGCAAAAATTCAGGAATACTCAGAACAGTAAATGGATGGATGAGACCGTCCAACGCTTCATCGCTTTGGTTGGGACACCCCTCCTTGTGCCCTTTGAACCTTTCAACAAGTCAACATACTCAATCACCCAGTCAACATTTGAAGACATTCAAGCTTTGATATGAATCAGGCCTGAGGGACATATCTTTGCGCGTGGGTCGAAAGTTGCATAGGCCGAGGCGCCTGGACAGTGCGCACCAAACAAGCGTAACATAGTGTTACATGATTTTCATGTAGTGTCAAATAACTGGAGGAACAGAAAGCAACACCATGGTGGTTTCCTGTTTGTCTACCATCCTATTAAATTTCATTGATATATGCAAAGTGCACATTTGATCACATTTGGGTCGATCCCAGTGGATCATTTCTCACGTCCCGCCACCCAGGTATGCTTGAATTCAGGTTGGCGAAAGTATAAGTGAACAGCACACCAGCGTACAAACTAACCCCCAAGTCGGAGGTCCTCAAACTCTCACTGGACAATAAGCAAATCTCTTGGCGTTGGCGATTGTCTTGCCATACTGTGAGCAGCACCCGCAATGTCAACTTAGCCACTAGCTTCCCAGCCAACATTCAGTAGGGAAGGTGTCGTTCCTCTACTGCACAGTGAGCGGCGCCGTAATAAAATCGGCTGTCAGGCCGTAGGTAAACCCAAAAGGTGACACGTGCACAACGCTTCCAACACGTCCGTCAATCTCACTGTTGACCCAGCACCTGCTGTGCCAGTGTTGAGTGCGTCAAGAACAGTTGAGCCGCCGGCAAAATGGAACGCCCTCTGAAATGTGAATGAGACATGCCACAGGCACTTGATTTAGGTGGGAAGTACAGAGGAGGTCGGGTATCTCCATGTTCAATATTGCGTGGATTAAACTAAGAGTCTGAAGACACCTTTTGTTCTGTTCACATTGCTCCCTTCCTGGGCTCTGTGCAGGTTTTGCTTCTCCACTTTGTTGATTGTGTCTTTGCTGCCACTTCTCTTCTTTGTTCGATCTACTTCTTCTCTGGATATCTTTCAATCGCGTTTATCGCGTTTCTCCGATCGCGGTTCTTCAAGCTTCAAATCGCAACATTTCGGTAGAGCAGTACTCTAGCTTTGTGGAGCCTGACAGGACGCTGACAGAATCTTGTTTGGTCACGGTCAGCCCTGGAATCCTTAGAACACCGATTTGCTGTGAAACACTCGCGGGAGGAGACTCGTATTGAATTGTGTCCTTTTGTTTTGCACCTCTGCAAGAATGTTTCCATTTTCACAACTCCTAGCGGTGCCTGAACATTCCACGCACCAGGTGATGTTGCCAAAGAACACCTTTTTATTGCAGGAATACCCACACAAAACAGTGAATGAATCGATGGATGAAAAGCCTTCCCGCTACCGTTGCAAATGGTAAGTTGCGTTGTGCTCCTGATGCCCCGATAAGCCCTATTCATAGAAGGCTTTCAACCAAATCAAGCGACAAATCAAACACTGAGGAAGTTCCAGGTTTCATACTAGCCGCGCCTGATTGATGAAAGTTGGCGCAGGCGTGGAGAATTGAGGCGAGGAGAATACCACAGGCGCCTGGACAGCACCCACCAAGCAATCGTGCTCATGTAATGTCAAGCAACTGGGTGACAAGAATGTTCTTTGCTTTGCTGTGAGTTGCGACGCCTGCTGAGCATGATCGTTTCAAGTTAGTCTACCACCATTTCACTTTTTGCTTCCATGGCATTCCATGGCATCATATTCACATGCACGTTGTAAGCGCCTTTGCAACACTGGGGGGCGCAATTTACTTTCAACATACATTGCAAATGCCACCCCGGTATGATTCTTTGGAACGGGGGTTGGTTGGCATATCCAATTGAACACGGGACCAGTGTCTGCACCACAATGAGCAGCGTAATTGGTATGCATCATTAAACGCTTTGTTATCTTGCGCGGGCCCCAATTACCTCTTAGATTACGGAGGGGTGGTTGGGGGGATATTGACCTTGGCTTAGGGCCTGATACAGGACTCATTGCCATATTGCTAGGATAAGCTTGAGTGAAACGGTAGGTTGGGACAAGCCCTGCATGCCCTGAAAATGGTGGAATCAGCAGGGCAGGATGGATTTTTGTCGACAGGAAGGCATCCTGCCTTCAAGGAACTAAAATGTCTTCACAAAACGACCATAAATTGAAAACGCGGGCTTTGGCTTCCACCCAACAAGATGTCAGAGCCCTCCTTTTTGGAGCTTTGGGCTGACGCAATGCTACTTTGAGGGTACCTGAGGGCAGCAACTTGGACTTTTTTTGCCCGGACCCTATTTCAAGCTTAACCAAAGCTACTGGACGATACAAAGTAGTGTTGTCTCCTCAGTCTGTACGAACGACTGCCAAAGCGTAAGCCTCAAAACCACTCCCAGCACCACCCACCACACGAGTCCATAATTTGTTGAGTAGCAAACCACATGTTTTCATGTTCACACTCTCTCGTTCAGACCACAAAACAACTTTTGTTGTCCGAAAGGTATCTTTCTTCTGAGGCGCCCCTATCTCAGCTACCAGGCAATACCAGCTACTGAGCAAACTCGGGCTTCGTTGCTCGATCGTGATTCTTTTCTCGACTGCGGTTCTTCGATTGACCGCATGTCTGGTAAAGTAGAAGCGCTCTAGTATTCCAGTTTTGTGGAGCCTGACAAGATCCTGACAGGATCTTTTTTGGTCACGGCCAGCCCTGGAATCCTTGGAACCCTGATCCACCGAAGTCGGATGATGTTGGTAAACAACATCACCCTTATTAAAGGAATACCACCAAAAAACAATTAACAAACAGTCAAGCGGTTTGGTTGGGACAACCTTCCATATGCCCTATATGCCCTTCACGCACCCTTCAAACGTCGTAGCCCTATTCACCTGAGCGGTAAACGCAGCAGTAATTGATGGTGGCGCACGTGGCACCTGGACAAGAACCACCGCACTGACACAAGTCCATGCAATCCAACAGAGGTTGAAGAACCCGAACTAGACTATCCCATAGGTACCCCAGTAAGGCCCTATAAGGTCACTTAACCTCTCTTGGATGGCAAACGACTTGTGAAACAATCGAAGAATCTGTTTGTTTTGCGTGTCAGCCGTGCCACCTGCTGAGCACTAATCGACCACCAGTTCACGTCTTGTTTGAAGGCTTTCAACCAAATCAAGCGACAAATCAAACACTGAGGAAGTTCAAGGTTTCATACTAGCCGCACCTGATTGATGAAATTTGGCGCAGGCGTGGAGAATCCAGGCGAGGAGAATACTCGAGGCGCCTGGACAGCACCCACCAAGCAATCGTGCTCATGTAATGTCCAGCAACTGGGTGAAAAGAATGTTCTTTGCTTTGCTGTGAGTGTGACGCCTGCTGAGCATGATCGTTTTAAGTTAGTCTACCACCATTTCACTTTTTGCTTCCATGGCATCATATTGAAATGCACGTTGTAGGCGCCTTTGCAACACTGGGGGGTGCAATTTACTTTCAAAATACCTTGCAAATGCCATCCCGGTATGATTCTTTGGAACGGGGGTTGGTTGGCATATCCAATTGAACACCGGACCAGTGTCTGCACCACCCATGGAATTGCGGGGTCTTCAAAATCTGAAATGAACGGATTTGTTTCATTACTAAACTCAAATACGTCATGCATTTTCTCAGGGCCCTATATACCTCAGATCATGGAATCAATTTGGGGGTTTGGCGGGGGCCGGTGGTCGGTCTGTGAAGCATGTCAATTGAACCAAAAAAACATGTTGTGAGCCACCCGATGGTAAAAAATACAAGCGGAAGGACGACCATACGGCCCAACTCTTCGTGGGAGCTCCAAAAAATGGCGTCAACAAAGCATGGGTGCCCGGAGTGCCCGCCCATGCTTGGAAGCGTCGCCGTGGGACCTTCCCCAAACCCAAGAAACACAAACGGTGCCCTCATCGGAACCTGCGGTCGCTATATATATATATATATTCCTCCCCTTACATGGTTGTCCAAGGACAAAACCCGTCACGGGAACAAACAAACAAACAGCATCAATGAAGCATGAGAGCCCGGGAAACATTTAGAGGAGAGGAAGGAGCTAGTATGCCTGTCCGACCATCCCGGCTTGCTACATTGCCAAAGACCAAACCCTTTGTGGGAGCTCCAAAAAGCAGCATCAACGAAGCATGGGTGCCCAGGTGGCCGGATCTGGAACACAAGAACTGTCTAAATATAATATATATATATATGTTTTTGGAGAGAGAGAGAGAGAGAGCGGTTTCAAGAGACCACTTATATACTATGTAGCCCTGTCGAAATCAAGAAAAAGATTGCTTTCGCTCACGTGATAATATATCCAAGAGGAGATTTGACGCGTGCAAAGCCGCGTGCAAATCACACAACCCGGAATCTGACCATACACCGAGCACCTGCTGTGTCAGCGTTGAGTGCGGCGAGGCCTGGACGATGGAAAGCCGAACGAATTGAGAAATACCACTGGTACTCGATTGGCCCCATTGCAATTTTAAGAATTTTTTGAGAGGTTTAGGTGGTACATAATAGGTCAGGTATCTCCCTGCCCGGATCTATACTGAAATATGTCTGGCTTACGTTCTGGAAAAGAAACTACATTCCTTAATAGCACTTCTCGCCTTTTCTTGTGCGTTGCTTTGATAAAATTGTTGAGTGTTCAAGCTTTGGGGAGCCTGACAGGCTCTTGTAGGGTCATGAAAACACTTAATCTTCTGACCTGGCCTGGAATTCTCTGAACCCTGAGTCTCGAGTTACATTGGATGACATCGGGATACAAACAACACATAACAAAGCCACCTTTCTTGCGGGAATGCTCCGATGAAATTGCTCAGTTATGGTCACTTGACTACTTGTGTTGTCTTAGTTGTGCCCCATGAACCCTGCTCATAGAAGGCTTTCAACAGACTTCAAGCAAGCCAACATACAGTGTCTCATCATCAAGTAAAACACAATTGATGCTCAAGGTTGGATATTAACCGCGCCTGGCGACAGATGAAAGATGCATTTAAAGATGCCTGGCGTCGCTGACGTCGTGGCATAGCAGTGACGATCTGTGACGCCCGGTATGCAAAACCTTCCCCGTAGCCTCGAGCTCTGGCACCAAGTCCTTTTCCTGACACAGCAATACCATTTCTTCCACGAAAAGCGTCGAAGAGAACTCTCCGGCACCGGCCTCATTCCTTTCCGCTGATTCTTCTTCATCTCCATCCTCCTCTACATCCTCTTCCACTTTCTCCATAACTTTCCTTGCTTCTGATTCCAGAGTCGGAGATTTGTCATCCTTGGTGGCATCTTCTAGTTCCTCAGTACTGCTCAGTAGCAAATCGAGGTTTAGGATATTCGACTGCAGACCGGTGCCACAACCACACCGTTGAACACTTTTAAGGTACAAGTGCCTCAGCACATCTGCCCACCCAGTCTAGAATGAATTTACTTGGCCCAGCCTTAGCCAGCAACATGGTCAGTTAGGAATCGTACCGCCTGGCCTGGCCTTCAACTGGTTCGGTGAGTGGATCCTAGTGGGGGCCGCCCAGAAAACTCGCCAACATCCGCCGTGGGGCCGATTGTCTGGGCCGTTTCGAGATCGGGACTGGGCTCCGGACCTTTCGCTTATCTTCAAACTGTTGTAGCACCTCTTGTAGGAACTTCGGGTACTTCCGGCCCTTAGCGCGCGTGTTTTCTGCCAATTGGCAGTCCTTTTTTGGAATTTCTACTGCAGGATGTTGAGTAGTCTGTCAAAATGACGGCTGATACACTTCCTGCTGATTATCAAACGCTTCACCATCCACTGCACACTTGTCATTAGATCCAGCATGACAAAAGCGTGCCTGCTCACCATATAAGACCATCATCCCTTCCATTTTCTTCATCTGCTCGGAAATGGCTTCCGTGTCATTCCCACAGGACTTTAAAAGCTCACGGAGTTTCTTCTTGGAGCACTTGGCATCCAATTCCAAAAAGGCGAGGTTGTACTTGGCATCCATAAGTTTTTTCTTTGCATATTTGCCTCGAAGAAGAACAGAACATACGTAAAAAAGAACGCAAACAACCGCCCTTCTTTGTTAGTTCATCTTTTTCGGTGTCTGAGGGAGCGTCCATCCTTGCCGGTGAGCTTGTTGTAAATCTCCTCAAGCCTTTTAAACGACTCCTTGGCCTCTTCTACCCTGCTAATCTCAAGGTAGGTCATGCCGATCGCATATTCCTGGAGGAAGGTTTCAAGGCCTTTCTCTGTCATACCTTGGTTCGCGCGCATTCAAACCAAAAAACCAGGCGCTCATCAAGAAAGTGCAGATCTGCGACACCAAACCTGCACACCGCAACAACCGCTCGGACAGGACACCGCAAGAAAACACGGAAGAGCAGGCAGGAACTGGGAAGTCTGAAATGACACGAATCCAAACGACTCCCACAACCCGATTGCGTTCCTCACACTATGCAAGTGCGCCTACTAAGATAATTGGGCCTGATTGGGCACAGGTGGGGGTGAGCGTAGGTGAGCTTGAAAAGCGGAACATGAGGGATGAGTTTCGGTGTTGACGATTGATCCGCAGCTGTGGGAGATCAGGATTGTAGGTCGGTCATGCTGCATGGTGGGAGGGTGGTGGGTGTGGCAAAGTAGCGAACACTTGCAAAACGTTTGGCAAGTCAGGGCCGCCACGGTGGCACCAGGCCCTTAAAAAGCCGCAAGCGTGAAGGGCTGTTAGAATGATATGTCGCTAGGGCAAAACACTTGCGGGTACTCAGGGTGGCGGAGTGTCTGTCGGGCTGATCCTTGGTTGGGATCGAGGCAACTAGTGTTCGTGGGGAAAACTATGGAAAACTGAATGAACTTGTAAGTTGGTAGTGAGGCTCCTACCCACTGTTCTGCTGTTCTAGATAGGGACCCTTTTTTGAGCACTATCAAACACGAATCATTGTAAATTTACGCCGGAAGGCCTTCTCTCTGCTTTTCCCACTCCTTTTCAAGATCCTCTATGAGCTTATTGACCTCCTTAGTCTTCTCATCCTTTCTGTCTTGCTGAATCTCTAGAAGTTGCTGAAGTGGACCTCGGAGAAGGCCCAAAAGGCTTTCTGCCTCCTTCTTGTCTTCCTCTTCCAAGATTCTTCTGATCGCAATCATTAGCTCATGGACCAAATCTTCTGTGTAGTCCGGTTTTACCAAGAAGTTGATGCGCTGAGAAAGGCAGCGAAGGGAATCCACATGGAACCTGCCCAGCTCCTTGTTGCCTTGGCGCATCAACACAATACCTGCGACAGCTACAAGCAGTAAATGGCAAGGCACTCACAAAGATTGTAAGCTCCAGACAAATCTCCATAGCATCTACGTAATACTTGTCAGAGATTCCGCTGGTGCAAGCCGCCCACAGATTTGCCAAATCACGTTTAACCAGACCGGTTTCAGCGTGCTTTTTTCCCAGCTTCTTCTCTCCTCAGTGACAACTGTCCTGCATTTCGGCAAACAACACTTGACCCGAGCTTTTGCGGAATTTAAGCTTCTGGCGCTGCACCATGACATCGTTCAGCATGCTCAAAGCTTCATCTTTGGCATCCTTGTCATTCTTGGAGTAAAGAAGAGAAGCATGCCTGCGCATCTGCTTCAAGGCTTCGATGTCAGGGAACTTCTCGCCTCTTTCGCCCAGCCACTCTTCGTCTGAAGTTTCGCAGCTCACGTTAAACAGGTTTTTCTGCAAGGCTGGCTCAAGCCTTCAAACTCATCGAACTAAGCACAAGGTCTGTCCTAAGGTCTGTTCTCACCAAAAATCTAAGACCCAGGCAGTGTTCAAATGTCTCTTTGAACATCTGTCTAGCATCCTCCAATATATATTCATTTCCCTGGCGTGAGAGTTGCTGAAGGACTGGGACTAAAGAGAACGTGCATCGCATGTAGACCGGATGCTTCTTGCCCAGATTTTCCGCACCTCAGCAACCCAAAGCAAGTCACATCGCTGACGATGTCAACTGGTGCTTTGGCTTTGTACACCTAAATGATCCACTGGTGCTTTGGCTTAGTAGCACAACTATTCAACGCTCGCGTCTTTGGCTTTGTACAGCGTCGCTCCGCTGAGTTCGGGGCTTCTCTTCGCTCCTTGGAGGGTTTCGACAGCTTGTGGAAACCGGTTCCCCTGGGCCAATTGGGCTCGTCCAACACCATCGCGAGCAAGCAAAGTGAACTGATGTTGTTTCCCAAAGTGCCTCTCGCCTCAGCAGTCCGCAACTATTAACATACAAACTATGCGTATTCTGCTAGCGCAGCTGTTGCAAATTAAGGTCCTAACCCAGTTTCTTGCAATCCTCCATCTTTGACAAAGCTTCCTCATGAAGACCACGAGCCAAATATCGATTTCCGAGTTCGTACAAAAGGTCAAAGCGTTCCTCGAGAATCGCGATTTTCATATTGTTGTCTGCACCGGTTACACTGATCAACTGGCTGAATTTCTTCCGAATACTCTCGCTCCGCTTTCGCATGCACTTCAGCAAGCGCTGTGCTTCGAGTCCAGCGTTGCAAATGTCGCTAGGTTTGTTCTGATTCGAACTTGCGTTCGATTCGTTAGAAGTCGAACTACCAGAGTCGCTATGGGCGATCGACTCGTTGGATGTCGAACTGCCACAATCACTGTCGGTGTCGCTATCAATCTCGAAATCTCCCTCAGAGAAAATGTCTGAATCGCTGTCATCGGCTGAAGCTTCCTTGCCATCCTTTTCCTTTTTGTATTTGATGACCCATACATCACGTTTCTCGTGAATGAAGTTCCCATGCACATCGTGGCCTCAGGCATTTCAACGAAGGCCGCAATGATACAGTTTCTGCACTGTTTGGTACAGATTCATCTTTTGGGGTGCATGGTGCCTGCAAACGACCGTGGAAGCCGGACCTCTTCAAAACCCAAAAGCATGAGGAAAACATTGCAAACAATTTTTTGTAACAATTTTCAGCCAAATCTGAGAATCGAACCTGCGGCAATGTGTGTTTTCCTCGGCTTGCGTGCTTGGTGTGACTCAGGCCGGTATTTAAAGACCGTCAAATTCCTGGACACGATTTGGCTTGCACGCCCGCTCATAACAATCGCTGTGATCAACACCAATGCCCTGCGAACAAATTTGAATGCTGAGGCACGGCCCATCCTCTTGAACGTTGAAGTAGCTTCCTTTCGGAACCAGGAGAGGAACACAAAATGCTACCCGATGGCCGTTCTTGTTGCCAGTGCCCCACTCTTTGTCCCTGTTCTTGAAAGTATCATCATCGATGTTGGGACCTGCACAAGAGCTAAAATCACACCGCGCAGGAAAACTTCACAAGTATCCGTAAGTGGAAGTTTCTCGAGATCACGAAAGGGATCGCGACAAAAGTTCGGTAGACAATCGAATGGGTCAACGCGAGCGGACAAACGCGAAAACATGTGCAAAAGGATGAGTCGAATGAGTTGGCAGGGCACCAAAATGCAAACTACCGCCTACCAGTGAAACAAACACGGTGACGGCGCCCGTTTTCTTTGCGAGTGCCTAGTGTGAAGCGCGATGAGGCACTGTGGTTCACAGTTTGCGCACCCACACACAAACCCAGCGCTGTCCCACATGAAACCAAGCCAGCACCGATGGGAAATCATCATAACTTATAGTCTATATCGCCGGGCGTCAGCGACCGTGGGTTTATATCTCACTGCCCATAGCCACGAACATTAAAAACTACACGCGCCATAGATGGCCATGTGCTTTTCTGCGGGTTACACAAAAAACGGTTCGCGCGGCCACTGGGGAGAGTTCATTGGTGTCTCAGTGATATTCAGCCATTGTGTCAGTCGCGCATTGAACATGGCTCTTGCCCGGGGCCTAGGGAGAAACACAGAAGGTTCCGAAACCCAGGGTTTCAAGGCTTCAGCAAGAACTCAGTCTTGGGGCTGTTTTTGGCAGTTGACCTGATGCAACATCCTGCGCTTGCCAATCACAACGAATGTCACCATCACTTGGACCACCCCCCTGCCACATCACACGCCGAAACAATGAGTCCAAAACGACATCCTGTACTTGCCAATTGCAACGCACAACGAATGTCACCACTCCCACATGAAACACCAAAGCCACCGACCCGAAACAACGAACGTCACCATTCTTGCCATTCACAGCGAACGTCACCACTTGGGCCACCCCCATGAAAGAAAAACTATACCGCGCACACACTTGTCAGAGCCCACGCAAAAACAGGGCAACAGCACACTCCATGCAGCTGTTCATTTTCCTTTCCAGGGAGCAAAGTCGAGTCCAGCAGAGGTCAAAACAAACAGGCTATGGCTATGGCGGCACAGTCCTATAGTCGCATAGCTCAAGAACTTTGAACTTCTACGTCTTGAAAGATGCTCGGCTGGAGAACTATATCACCGGCGCGCGAAGATGGCGTGACTCGGCTCTTCTCAGCTCTGTGCCATATGACGGCAAAGAAACTACTGTATTGAATTTACCATTCAAGAGACTTTCTCCTCGGCGTTGCATCTCCACAGCAGGTACTACAAGTTAAAAAGAAACACTCGCGCCCAAAAGGACTTGTCTGATCTCATGCTTTACTTCGAGTGGTCCCCACGATGACGTTATACTCTGCCCCAAACTGAGACTACCTCAAACTTGTGAAAATGACATTGTTCACGTCATCTGGCGCCTTACAAGCAGCAACACAAATCCCACAACTGCATAGCACAGGGTCATTGCAGCGCACTGGAAATAGAAAACACTTGAAGTGGATTCGGTCTCCTGGTCCATCGTCCTCCTAGTGATGATCTAGCGATGATGACGGTCTACATGTGGCAAATCAAGCGCGTGTGTGTATTTTGTGTCTGATGCGAAACGATTCATGTGAGCGTGATGTGAACGAAGGAAGAGAGGAGGAGGCGGAGGCGGGGGAGGAGGAGATACATTTAGAGGAAGATTGGGAACCGAATGAAACAATGAGCCAAAGCAAAGCAGCAAAGCTAAGGGTGTAGCGCGTTGGGTCTCCCCGGTCGTAATTGTTGAGCAAACACCGGCCGCGCGAATTCCACACCTCATCTGCGAGGCTATGGCAAGAATCACAACACTGCGAATGAGCCAAGTGACAGCAGGTTCATGTTGCGTAGCGTAGACACCGTCACCGAAATGAGCCCGGTCTTTGAAGGAAGCAAAAATCTGGTTTATAGATTTTTCGCAGCCAACAATATTGACGAAGCCCATCTCGTCTGTGAAATGGTACAACACCTGCGTTTCGGAAAAAAAGGAGTGCCCGTGGCGTGAGGCAGTCGCTGTGCCCCTCGCAATCAATTGAATGCGAAAGCAAAATAGGAATTGCCTTTTTGCATTTAATGTTGGTGTATCCTATCAGGCAAACCAACAGACCATAGCCCAAACTTTCATCAAATCAATATCCACAGTGCGCATCAAATCCAGAACTCCGGTGTCAAAGTTTGAATTTTCAACAAAAGCAGAAAGGCGACTTGTCTTCGCAAGGGCTTCTGTGAATCCTATCCCCTTGAACGAACTTCTGTGAAAACACAACATGGTCCAACAGCATGGTTATACTGCACGTACCTTTGCGCAAAACAAAGTCATCGATCGATGAGCCCATGAGCCCAAAGACCATGCATGCTGCAGCTGCAAAGGGCAATTCACATGCTTCTGCATCATGTATCTTGCGGGTCGTGGCCTATTTTCGCTACATCGAGCATGAAAGGAAAAGCGACGTCGGAAGTATGAGTTTAAAACCTGGTTGAGCAAAAAGTTCATGATTCCCGGGTCACATGCGCAAACAATAATGAAATGCCGTAATACTAGTGCATTCATAGCAAACAAGAAACCACATCCAGACAAGGCGGTGGAGAAAGGCAAACCGGCGCCTAAGCACGGACAAGGCCCGACAACATCCTCGGACAAGCAAGGCCAAGGCAGAGAAGGAAGGGCCCGTGGTGCCCTGACAAAGCCTGGACCAAGCGCAAAAAGGCCCAGCGCGGCCAAGTAGGACACACCGCACAACCTGGACACGGACAAGAAAGGGCCTGCGGAACGGTCCTATGCGCACAGCGCAAGGCTGAGATCAGGTGGAGAAGACAGGGCCCATGGTGCGCGCGACGCTCAGACCCGGACAAGGTGCAGAAGAAAGGGCAGAGAGAACCCCAGCAGTACTTTTTTGGTGCAAAAACGAATCACTTAATAAACATCTCCAATGCACGGTTCATGTATATATATATCATACAATTAGGTGGCTGATCTAACTCCTTCTTACGAACACGCCATTCTTCACGACAAATCTTTACTTGTTGCAAATCTTTTGCGAACTCCACGTTTATCTTTGGAGAGGGTCATATCCTGGAAGTCACCTATATTTCGCGAAAAAAGAGTCTTTACTTTCGCAAACTCGAAAAGGTTTTTGCGAACCACATCAAAGGCTCTCAATCAACCTATAGGTCTTATGTGAACATTTCGATCAAATGCCGCACGATGTTTCGAGCTTTGGCTATGCTGGCGGGTGCAGGGTGTGTCAAAACTGCATGGCGGGTGATCGGAAGATAGGCCAACACATGTTTCCACCAATATTGGAATTCAACTAACTGACGCAGCAAATCCCGCTGAAACTATTTTGGGTCTATGCTGGAATGATTGTACTGGTTTGGTGGATTTATGGTCCACATTAACCTATGAATGTGGTGCTAAAGCCCACCTTGAAGTCCATGTCGTGTGTGCTTTTCCGCAAGTCGATGGCGCAGCGCCACACGACCACATTCCCATCTGGCGCTTCAAACTTGTAGGTCGCAGTGTCGAAGAGGCCAAAGTAGTCCCGAATGTACGTGTCACCCTTTTGCATCAGCAGCTCGCCGTTGTGATACCTTGCTAGCGAGCAGGTCTCAGGGTTCTGGCCTAAATCAACGTACGTCCTTCAATTCTCAGGGGCTGGCTATATGCTGATGTTGACATCAACTATTTTGGTAAAAGGACAGCAGGGCAAAACAGTGCACGTCCGTCCGTCCGTCCCTCCGTCCATCCCTGCATTGCTGTGCACACATATACATATATTTCTGATATATAAATTTGTATAGAGAGATGTTAATTTACTCACCTGCCCGCCCATGATCTACCTTTTCCTGCTTCTCAGCACTTCTACCTTTTCATACTTCTCATCTGTTCTACCGTTTTCTGCTTTTCAGTTCTCTTGTGTCATTGAATTTATTCTTTCATTCACCATGCCTCATGTGCTTTGAAGCTTCCGTGAGGTAAAAAAGTACTTGAGATTCAAGCAGCTGCTGGCTGTCTGCAGCTGCGCATGCGTAAACTCATGCAAATTCACTGTGATGTATTCCACAGCGCAAAGTCCGACGATACAAGAAACACATGTGAAAAAAGAGCTGGGAAGCTGTGTCAGAATCCCATTCTTTGTTGGAACAAAACAGTTTTTCTTTTCTGTACTAAGCTTCCCCGTTTGTGGATAGATTTTGCAATCAGTTGATACGATTTGACAAATGGTTTAAAAGACAGTTAAAGATTCTAAAAGGTCAGCAGTAGAAATCAACGGGATGTTAAAAGGGAATCAACAAAAAGCAACAGGATTGCAATAGGTAACCAATAGAACCACAAGGTAAACAAAAACAGAGTTCACAAATAAACATGAGCACTGAAAAGCGTAGACATTATTGCAGAGCATTTTGTTACTAAAGTTCATACCAAAGCAACAGCGCAAACAATGTTTGATTGGACAATAACATAACACTATATTCATCCAGGGGTATTGCTACTAAAGCCAAAAAGGGCAAACGTTGATCCTGGGGGTTATTATGCGCATTCAATAGTTTTTAGTGTACTTGGCTAACCCCTTTGTGGAACATATTTGCAATAGTTTGATAAGACTTTAAAACAAACACATAGTAATCAGTTAGAAATCAATTAGATAGTGAAAAAGGCAATCAAAAAGAATCAACAGGAATTGTAACGGGAATTGAACAATTAGTAGTTTCAACATGGAATTCAAAAAATGAAACATGAAAGCGTAAACGATATTGCAGGCGATGGTATTATTGAAGCCCAAAACGGCAAACATTAATGTAGGGTTATCTTATTCAATATTTCTAGTGTACTGGGCTACCGCCTTTTTGGAATAGATCTTTGCCGTCATGTAGAAAGGTTTAAACTGATTTAAAGAAATTAACTAAACAAACTAAAACAAACATCAAGAGGAATTCAATGGGAGATTGAAAGGACACTTTTTGGAATAAACATAGTGATCGAAAAGCGTTCAATAGGAATCAACTTCCGTGTAAAAAGAAAATAAGGAAGAATTCAAAAAGGGAACTTCAAAGGCGAGAGAGTCGCAATGGACTCGCAGGGACTATGTCTGCGCCTGCTTTTCTGATACCCCGGCAATGGAAAATACATGGTATGTAGGCTTGGGTAAAGTAGAGACTAAGCACCAAAACAGAACAAAAACCACCCTCCGGAAAATCTGGGGTAGTGATTTTGTTGATTTCTTTATTGGTGTTTGCTTTACCAGGGCAAGATGTGAAGCTCATTATCATATTATATCTGTCTGTTGCCTTGCCTTCAGTGTAGCTTCCTTGTGTTTGTGGCTCATACCGTATACCGCAAAACACAACATCTAAGAAGTAAAAAAGAAAAAACAACAACAAAAAACACTAAGTCGGGTTTTCTGAGAAATCTGTGTTCTTAGGGTGTTTGTTTATGGACCCTGTTTACATGATGCCATGCAAAGGAATAAACGAGGATAGTGTCGTATGTATATATATATGTTTATATGTCATATGTACACCGTGTTACACTGCTTGCGTTGCATGAATTGGGAAAGCCGCTGAATGCAGCCCTTAACTGCAAGTGTGACTCACGCATGCTGGCGCAAGACCCGACAAAACATGCTCTGAAGGTGAAATGTCCGTCCGAACTTGATGCTTCTGAGGCGCCCTCCAAATTTCCCATTCTCACACCCAAAGTGCTGAGTCAAGAAGTTCATGTCCTTCTGCAACTGATATCGCCCCGTCGGCGCAACAACTGGAGCCTTCGCCTGCACAGTCAGGAATCGAATACTTCGGCAAATATCTCATTCAGAGAATAAGTAATAACTAGTTCAAGAAATCGAAACAGAAAGGACGATTGAAGGGATCCATACTAACATTATCATTGCCAACCAAATTCAAGAAGCACCATTACTATACAGTATGCTTACTTGATCTTGCTGGAAGGTAGGTTGAACTCCCCAAAGACAATCAATTTATAGAGTCGAGCAAGAAAAACGCCTTGCGACAAGTCAAAAGCACGGACCGGAATTTTGCCATGTCCCTGCCTTCATGAGGAGTACGTGCGGGGCAATGACCAGGGGTTCGACGACCACAGTCGCCGATTGGACCGTCTCTGCCTCGATTGGACCGTCCGCTAATGTCGCAGGCTTTGGCGAGGTGTAAGTGTCGAGGGTCTCGTCCACAATAAGTACCACCTCGTTCTTCTCTGCCTCGATTGGGCGGAGGTCGAAATCGCTGCCTGGACTCGCGAGGCCCAAGGACGACCAAGGAGCGGGTGGAGGTTTCTTACTCGCCACCGCATCGGAACTACAAAGGCCATTGATGCATCCTGCAAAATAGGCGAAGAATGTTGGACGACCAATCTGCAAGGACCAATCAACATCTTTGGTCTTGGTCTGTCTTGGCCTGGCAGCTGCAAGAAGGAATTGATCTTTCTGACAAGAAACAAAACACAAAGTCACAGCGAATCTCATGAACTTCAATTGAAAGCAGGAAGCAGCCAGCTGCAGCGCCAACAAAACGCTGTAAGACTTTAAGAAGTCTATCCACAAAACCTTTTTTGTGCGATTTAGGCAACCCACGGGAACACTGGTTGATTTGATTTGAGAACTCTGGCTAATGTTGGGGTGTCAACCTTGGAGCCCAATTTTCATCTGACCGAAGAAACACAAAACACTACGCTCCGGTACAGGTCAGACAATGAAACGGGCCAGTTCCTTGGAGTTTTTGTACAAACAACCAATCCAGCATGCCCAAACAACAGTCTTGTAGGGTTCCATACCGTAACAATCCATGCATTGAACATTTACCTACATTGACGGGCTTTTAAGATCTTCTTTTAAGGGTCAATGTAAGCAAATCTTTCAGTTGCATTGATGGTCTGGGATAGGAAACTCAGCAAACTAGTTGCTCGACCTTCGTTGGAAGGACCGCTCCAGCCTTGAGCGTGATGCTGTCAGTGGCTGAAGCCCAGCGTTCAAGGGCTCCAGGTTTGGCACACCCAAATCATCAACACGCCAAGCGTTTCTGAGAAGACGATTATCCTCAATGGCTTTCACACCAGTGGTGCTGACAGGCACTTGAGCTTCACTCTTCAGGGTACTTGTGAAAGGGACGCCGGTCCTTGCACATGCCCAAATGAACTTCTTGCTGCAAAGCAATTTGTGAATATGATGGGTAAGAGCAAGACTCCTGTGTGTATGTGTGATTCGTGTGATTGATACTTTAACAAATATGAATGACTCTAGCCCGCTCCTAGTTATTCCTCATTGCTTCAAACAAATGGAAGCTGAAATCAGTAAGAACGGCAGCGTGCCTTTATACTTTGGATAAATTCAATCATCGAAACTACCAGTATGTTGGAGGGGCCTCTACTTTGCCATGCATGTAGCTTGAAAGAAGACTTCAGCCCTGAAACGGAAAACGAAAAAAGAAATGTGATGTTGATCAGGCGTGGAAGCAGGCTAAACAATGTTGGTGAGGTCAGGTGAGCAAGGTCTGTATCTGGGGGGTGGAGTGACACAAGGCGAGAAAACAAGCTCGGTGAACACAGTTGAGGTGGACATGAAAGATTCATGTACCAGAGCGGGCGGAAATTTTGCAGGGAAACTGCTGCGCTGAATTAGAACGCATAGCAAAAAACAGGCCGTACTACTACTGGCGAGACACGAGACACAACTTGGCGAGACATGAGATGGTATGAGATGAGACTGAGCTATCTTCCTTTCAGGCCACGAAACTTTTGGCGGCGGTCATGACGAATGGAGAACGAATTCAACTGCAGTCATGGCGCTCTTGCGTTTGGAACACGGGAAAGTACAACAGTATGACAACCAGAATCATAAAAAAAGCAGTAGCTGTTGCAAAGCTATGTTGACATTCTGCAGCAAAAACCATCGGCCTTGGGCTTTCTTCCAATGCAACTTCAGCACTTTCTTCTAGCTCCACTATGGACGGGCCGGATCTTGTAGAGGGGCTTCTGCTCCTTTTGGCGCCCACACTATAGTGCGTAAACGGCACAAAGTGACGACATGCAGAACAACATATAATCATGGCTGCAGAAAACATGTCATAAACACAAAGCAACGGAAGGCCTTTGCCCCTATGCAACAGTTGTGACAAACAAATCCACGCCAGCCAAACACAGTAACCATTGAAACCTAAGAGGCAACAACTTTGCCCAATCACAATACCAGTCTACAAGTGTAGGTGAATATACGTATTTTGCTTGGTGAGTTACTTCTTGACCCTTGGTGGTTGACAAAGCAGGTTTTCTTTGTCAAATCTACGAGCCATGCCTTGCTTCGGCCGCGCGCTTCGTGGGACTACCAGCGCAGCTGTTCCTGTCACACTTGCTGCATGGAGTTTCTGGCAATGAACATGATGGGCAAAAGTTCTGCACGTGCGGATGACCTGTTCCGCAGCACGCCACCCTTCCAGCTAGCAACACAGGAAGTGGGTTCGCAACAGCCAAAGGTTTTGCGTTTTGCTTGTTTACAACGCTGCGCTTGCCAAACATTGCGCTGCGCATGGATCTGTGAGTGCATGTATACTGCATGTGCTCCGTGATGGGTGGCTTGGGGCTGTAGACTTTTTGTAGGCAGTCAGCACTGTAGGGCCAAGATTGGTCAGCCTGGACAGTACTCTTCTGGTGCGCCGCTCATCTTTGGGTGGTGTTTGCTGGTGTGACCGCAGTTGTGCTTTGGACATGTCTGATTCTGCGCTGCTTGCCGGCTTGATTCACTCCAATGAGATTAATGGGAAGTCTGCCTGCCAATGGAGAACGGAAAGACTTCAATTTCCAGCACCAAAAAGGATCTTTGTTGCATGAATCGGGTCTTGGTGTGATGCAAAGAACCAACTTAATGTTTGCATTGGTTTGTGAATCTCTGACTGCTTGTCGGACATAGGAGAGCCGGACAGGTACCTAACGGTACCGTCCCCAACAGACGTGCAGCATGGTCTTCAAGACAAGCCAAAAGCCTCGAAAAAGAAACGTCGCCGACTGAAGACAGTGTATATTTACAGCTTTGATTGTTGTTATACTTGTGTTTTGCTAGGTCTTAACCATCCGGTTGTGAACGACTTCCAGCGTCGAACCAAAAGATCTGACAGTCGCGTCAAACATGCCTGCATGGACAAAGCCTGTGGGGAATGAAAGAACACTCAATGGTGTGGTCGTGTGATATTGTACAGTATATGCTGAACACGTTGCAGCGCGCCCACGAAGCGCCCACGACTGCTATTGTATCAACGTCCGGTGGTGAGGACTGCGAAAAGCAACAAACCGACACAGGATTCAGTTTTCCCTCACCCTCAGACCATCAAAATCGCATCGTTGCCAAAATGAGCAGCACAGTTTCATGTTTTTGCTGCAGCCAAATGCAACATCTGAAAGTTGTAGCGTAGACCCAGTGGGAGTGAAAGCAAACCAATGTCTTTATATGCTGCCTTTGAGTCTTGGCACATGGTGGCCACACACACACAAACACACATGTACCTGTGTGGTGACTGATGCAAAGGCAAGGCAACCGGCCACGAAGAGAAACTTCTGTACGCCGAACAAATGCGCAAAGACCGTAGCAGTCTCAATGAACTGTATTGGCCCTGTCACACCCCCAACCGGCATCACAAAGGGTTTTCAGGAATCTAGTTTTGGGCCACAAAGCCAGCTTGCCTGCAAGACTTTCGAAGCCTGTGCGCAGCAGCCGTGGAAAGTAGAGTGACAAGCCCATTGTCGCAGCGCACTTTCACCACTCCTGGCAACGAACGTGTCAATTGATGTTCCCTGCAGTTCGTTCATTTCATGCCCTCTCGGTCTCATGCATGTTCACCTCGAAGAAATCAGGTTGTAGGTTCCCGAAAACAATAATGCAACTGCAACCATGCACAAACCAAATTTCCTCTGGGTGGAAGCATATGTGGAAGCATTCTGTCATCCTGAAATGATCTGAAAAGCTATTTGACGATTGACCCACTACTGGCTCCAGCCTTCATGAAAGGGTACTCCATTGACCTTTTTTGTGGCAGTCATCACCTGCAAAAAGCAAACAAAGCTCCTCTTTAACCAAGCAAGGCTAAGGTCTAAAGCAGCAATCCGAAAGAGAACACTGCGGTACCCTCGGAAAAATGCCAAGAAGGTACCCGTCAGGAATTCGATTGGCCTCTTCGACGGTTGCAGCCTCCCAAACCTGCAGGTGCACCGTTTCGCTGCGCTGCGATCTTCAGTTTTGCGACCAGAACATGTAAGCAAGCGGGTTCAAGTGTGGAGAAGGTAACCTGATTCCAAAACACCACAAAGGTCCCAACTACCTGCAAGCTCCCATGCCTGAGTTTGTTCTGTGTCAAAACGTTCCCAACCCACAAACAATGGAAACATGATGAACATGATGAAACTCATGTAGTGTATACTGGTTTGTGCTCACAGTGTGCTCATTTGGCCTGTCTGTTTTCCCACATTACAAGTGAATCCTGCCTCATCTGAAACGAGAATCTCCACTCGATCCCCTGCTCGATAGTTGTGTCCGACACTCCCGATGGAAGTCACATTAGATGCGACAAGAGTTGGCTGTAAAGGCCGCGCTGGCGCAGTATGAGTCAGTTTGGGCGGAGAAACAGTTGCCTGCACCACCTGGACCCCTGGAAAGCCAAGCTGTGACACAAGCAAATCCTTGAATAGGGGAGGATACGCTGGAAGAGAGACACTGGCTGATCCGGGCGCCACTGTGGAATCGATGGGAGTTCCACGCACTGGCAAAGTCAAGCTGCCAACTCGTTTGAACGGTTCCGCTTGACCGACAGGCTGCGTGGGGCCAACGTTGATGTTCACAACGAGGCTGGGCTCCAAGCTGGAGCTCCTCATGCGATCCATTGCCATAGCACCACCCTCGCAGTTACAGCAGCTCTGTGAGATGAAAAACAGGCAGCAAACACACACTCTCGCTCCACAAGGTTCAGCAGAAACCTCCAAATGAACGGCGGTGATTCGGACAGATTGGGCCCAGATTGGGATCTCATCTATGAATTTGATCTTTCTTCTCTTCACCAATGGTGTAGGGACGGTACTTCAAGTGAAATCCAACTAGAATGTGATGTCTTGCTTATAGTGAATAGGAGCAATCCGTGAACACCGTGAACACTCAGTCGGACCAAACGCTTGCATTCTCGGACCGTCTCCGTCTCTGCTCCACTCCAACTTCCAATGTACAAACAGCAAACGCCAACTTTTCCTTGTGCTGCTCACATCGGGCTGCCACACTTGAGACTGCCACCGACAGTCCCAAGTTGAGCGTGACAAGCAGCGTCGTCTCACCCTTCGCTGCATGTTCGAGTCCTCGCAAAAGGAGGGCACAAGCCACGAGCGACCAATTGTAACGCTGCGTCCATCAAACGGACATGGTAGTATGTGTTTTTTGTTGTATTTTTATGTTCACATTCAAACATACGTTCAGTTCATTTTATTGGTGTGTAGTGGCCAGAGGCTAGGCCAAAGGAACCTCGGCCAGTTTTATATGAGATGGCCAGAAACTAAGCCACGCACCTCACAAGATCCAGGGCTTTTATTGCTTTGATTTACCGTTTTTAGTCTAGCCATATTGGAATCTCAGTGTACAATCTGAGATAGAAGTGTGTTCAAATCTCTGACTTTGGTGATTCTCCCAATCTTCAGTCGCACAAGGGTACTGTATAAGTGCGTGTGTTTGTGCGTGTGCGGGTGGGCAGGTGAGTTTTTGGGTTTGGCAAACGTGCATCTCCTTCTGGTCATTGTTGTTGACTTTTTGGGAGATCGAGCAAGGGGGTCGATCTATGGACAGCTTGTAGAGGCACATCTGTAACAGGTAACGGTAGAGGTGTGTATGCAATATGATTAGGACAAAGGCAAAGGTGAGTTCCCACAAGTAATAATGGTTCAAGCCAAAGGTGACTCCCCGTTCTGTCAACAAAAACGGGGAAGCTAATTGTTGGCTTCAGTTTTAGCTGTTCCTGTTTACAGTTGGTGCTAGCAGTGAAACCATAGGTGTCCAAGCAATCGGGCCAATAAGGTGATGCAACCAATTGCATCTTCGGGAAGTCACCGGCAACATCGAAGGGATGTGAAGGAACGTCAGCAAAAAACAGCGGCTCATGAAATGTTGGCGCGATTCTCAGGGCCCCTTCAAGTCACTGAAAATGGGTCCGCCAAGACAGTATCACAAGTACTATCACAAGTATCGTCCCACCCAAGGATGATGAGCAGGATGAGTGTGACTATGACGGGAAATTGGAGACCAAGTACAACCAGCCATGCCGGAACGATGGATTTGTCAGAAGTTTGGAGTGTCATCCTGGCGCAAACCTTGAGGGTCGGGTCGAGGGTGTCTACACAACCATCAAGCGAACTTCCATTCCTGGCATCCAGCAAGCCTGTGCAACACAACCCCTTCTCCAAAAGTGTTCCGTTGTATTTATATGGTTTTCTCGTGGTCCTTCGTCACCTGCGGGTTGACACCTCTGCACCTCAGCGGCCAAAGGACACAAAGGGACACAAAGCACTCCAGCATGCCGTGCGAAAATTCCTTGGGATCTGACAGGAACCTTGGGAACTCCTGAAGGCTTGAACCTTGTGAAACAACGCGGGAAGCTAGCCACTCCGGCATGTATCGGTGTATGTTCTTTGCTACCAAACAGCTCGTCAACGTGATCTGCTTTTTGCATTGCGTAAACAAGATGGAGCCCACGAACCCGAATGCAAGCACGATCGAAAAGCTACATATATCCAAATGACACTCTTGTAGGACACTCTTGTGGGACACTCTTCTGGGACACTCTTGTGGGACACTCTTGTGGGACACTCTTGTGGGACAC